TCATAAAAACGTTAGCACTCAAAAAAGATAAATGTATTCTTTAATTTAGTGCCATCAGATATCTACGGAGTGTTTCTATCATAGTGAGAAAAGTTGCAGAGAAGACAGCCCACCCAGAGAAGAGGCCTGCAGAGAAGGTGGGAAAAATTGGGGTTAGAAATGTAGATTTCAGGGTTTTACAAGTAGATCTGTTCTCTGAGAATCTACGGATGGATGAATCCTTGAAGTCCAGGACTACGGGAGGAAAACGAAAGACCAGGGTTGAGCCTTGGGAAACGCCCAGAAATGTGAGAGCAGCACAGGGACCCACAGAGAGGTGGTCTGGTGATGCTGAACGGGTTAGAGCGGCGGTGTGGGGTGGTCACGCATCGAGGGCCAGCAGAGCAGGGAGCCCAGAGACTGCAGCCAGAAAAGGACTGCGTTTAGGTAACTATGAGGCCGCCCGGCAGGGTGTGGGGATAGCCTCCTGTCGGCTCACGGAGCAGATCCGACACATCACGTCTCTCCCCAGCTACGCACCACACGTTGGGGGCTTGGAATTAGCCCTGCAGGAGTATTTCCACCACAGAGATCGGCAGAGGCTATAAATTAAGGCTTAGTTTTTTGTTTGTGTGTTTATAGTAGTTGGTTGTATGCGTGTAGTAGCACGTTACAGAGGCCAACAGGTTTCCACAGACTGGTATTTCTTAAGCTTTTTACATGGCAACGCAGCAAACATAGTTTACACCCGAAACAGTTTTCAGGAACCTCCTTAACCTTGCCACGTGGGATGCATTCTGATCTCTCTCCTTCTCTTTCTACCTGTTTCCTTAAAAAGGAGGAAAAAATGCTGTTTATAACTCACTAAACTGATTTCAGGACCTACAGCTGAGAAAGCCTTGTTTTACAGAAAACTAGAGGTTCTATGTGCATCATAACGCCAAGAGGTGATTATTTTAAAAATAGAGTAGCAGTTGTAGGTAAGACAGTTTCATCTCGAAAGGAAGAAGAAAAGAGACGCAAAGTGCTGAAAAGGCGGCCTCTTCAGAATGGGGGCTAAGTGTATGTGTGTAAAGAAGAAGAAAAATGGGGCAGCGGGAGCCTGCATCATAGGAGATGCCTGGTGAGGGGCTGCCGAGAGCGGGGCCCAGCCCTTGGCGACAACAGAAGAGAAGCCTCATGTTTTGTTGCGACAGCCTGTCTTGGAGAAGGTCATCTGTTCTAGAGGTTGAGGGAAGGAAACTGGACACGTGGGGAAAAGCTAAAAACCAGATTCCCTTGGGATTGTAAAAACTGCTTTTATTTAGCTAGTTGGAGCCACTGTTACTCCTGCAAACCAAAGAGCACAGCTTTAAGTGGCAAGCCTGGGCCTTGAACCCCGGGCTGACTCCTGTCGCAAAGCCGTTTTTCCAGACTTGCCTGAGAGGACGCGAATACAGGGAAGGACGCTCGGCCTTGCGGTCAGGCCAGCCAGGGCCCCGGAGCAAGCCCGTCGCAGGCAGGCCCTGCTGCTGGGTGCTCCTTGGGCCTGGAGCGGCCTCCTCCAGGCGGTTACCTGTTAAGTGACCAGTGGAGATGCCAGGCCAGGTGAATGAATCCCCAGCCTCCGCCCTGACTGGCCCACGTTAAACAAGCCGAATGGACAGTCGTCAGTCACGTTGGTCTGCCCAGAGGACAGTCTGGGTCCCGAGGCCTGTCTGCCTGGTGCCGCCTGGGCGGATCAGCCCCAGAGAGAAACACAGGGCGGTCTTGGAGGGTCAGGGCCGCAGAGACTGGAGGCCGTGGTGCCGAAAGGCTAGCCAGGCCAGAAACGCACAGTCTTTCAGACTTGAGGATCTGGACCCACAGCGCAGGGGGTCACGAGGTGGGAGGGGCCCGGCTCAGTGTCAGGGGCTTCGCGGGCCAGGGGTTCCTCCCCTTGACCCTCAGGTGCAGGCTGGGGAAGCAGGTGCCCGGTGGCTGGGGTGGGTGTTCGCCACGTCTGAGTTTGGGGTGTGCGGTGGTGAACGAGGGCAGCGAGGTGTGGAGGGGACGCCTGAGTTTCGCTCTTGTCATTGTCTGCTTTTGAACGTGTGGGATTGTGGGTTGTGACCTGTTCCCTTTACAGAGCCTCACGTGCACCTGGCACTCAGCTGCTCTAAATGCCCGGGAGACCTCTTGTTTCTCTAACAAGAAGCTTTGTGTTTTCCGTCCTGTGATCTTGTGGTTAAGAGAAAGGACGTCTGTTTATAGTCCAGCGTGTTATTTCTGTAAACCACCCTTTACACAGGGGAGTCGGATGCTGCACGCGAGAATCTGTTTCATCTGATAGTTTTCGTTAATGAATCCAGACATAATGTATTTTGCCCCAGACTGCCTGGGATGAATTAGAGGAAGACAGTTGTAGTCAATGTGACAATTTTTAGAGATTCATAAGAGGACGATATCATAGAGTTTCCTAACAGATTCAGAAACTCTGGTCCTGAATATTAATACCAGCACCATCAAAAAATAGTTATTAGGTGGGAAAGCATATTTTTGATATTTGAATTTAAGAGGACTTTCTGTATTTCCCAACGTTGCCATCAAGAATTGGAATCTGAATTTCCTCCTTTATTCATTCAGTAAATATTTAACACCCGTATGTTCATGGCATAGCATTAGGCTCAGGGAGTTACACAGAACTTAGAAGCCTGGGCTGTGTCCTCAAGGGGGAAATAAAAGCAACAAGTTCCTCTAATTGTTTTTACACGGAGCAGTGTTGATACCAGCTTGGGAACATCTCAGTCACCAGGGAAGGAAATGGGGCCGGGGGGCCCCTCCGAGGCCAGTGCCCTGACAGCCCTGAGGGTCCCCCCACCCCTTGGGGTTTACGGGACAAGGTACAAGGAGCCAGGCTCGGGTCCCTCTGCAGCCGGTGAGGATTGTTCTCTGATGCGCTGTGATGTGATTAAGCACGGCTGCTTTTTTTCCCTTTAGATTTTCTTAACAATGCCAGAGACTGTCATTTCTACACACAACTAAATCGTGGTGTTCGTAGGCTAAGGTGAGCACTCGCCAGCATCTCCTGAGAAGGCTCCAGCTCAGCTTTCTGCCTACAGGATTGCAGAGCTGCTGCAGGACTCACAGGGACACTTACAACGTCCCCTGAAGACGGGAGGCCTGGGGAGGATGGTGGACCAGGGGCTGGATCCTGTCTGAGCCAGAGTGGGCCCCCAGTAAAAGTTTATTGACTGAGTGAGGACATCCGAGCTAAAGTATACAAGAGCCATGAGTTTAGGCCACTCGTCTTTTAAGGCCTTGTCGACTAAAAGAAAAACGCAGAATGTAAGAGCCGAGAGTTGAGTTTTATTCAGGGTCCTACTGAGGACCAGAGCCAGGAGACAGCCTCTCAGAGACCCTCTGAGAGACAACTCTGAAGACGTAGCGAGGGAGGTCCATATATATACGGTCTCGGCTAAGGGGCTTGTGCGGTCAGCATACAGTATAACCAGTCACAAGGAAGAGATATCTCAGTTGATGAATTTAGTGCTTTCCTAAGTATGGGAAGATGCAAGAATCTGGGTTCATAAAAAGATTTTCTTGGAATTGATCCCTAATTTGTCCTGAAATGTGTATCTAACTAAGGGCCTGTCGTGCCTGTTTTCCCAAAGCACAGAGTGCGTCCTCCCGTTCTTTGCCCTGAATTCCTTTCAGGGCGCACGGTAGGTCAGCGGCTGCCGTGGCTGATGACTTGATCTTGTAGAACTGGGTGGTGGGCAAGATTCTTTGTTTTACAACCTCAGTGCTCCTGGACGAAGGTGCTCAGGGCAGGAGGGTGATAAGTTGGAGACAGAGGGGGAGACCTTTGAAGGCCCCCATGTTTATAATTAGAAGTTTTGTATGATTTGGACCAGGGCCAGATGGTAATTCATTCAGTAAACATTTATCTAGCACTCGTGTGCCTAGAGTGTGTTAGGTCCCTTGCAGATGTGAGAGGGTTCTACACGGCAGTGTTTTCTAAACGTGTCTGCAGCTTAGAATCATGAGGGAGAATCTCTGAAAAATTCCAAAGCCTAGGCCACACCCCAGACCATCACGGTCTCTAGGTGGGGGACACAGACATGGCGGTTTCCTCCTTGGGGGGTTCCACCAGGCAGACAAGTCTGCGAATCACCACCACAAGGAGAACAGTTTTAGAGAACGCACCCAGAAAAGTAAGTAATGATATTAGAAGTCAATACAGCAGCTCACAAAGCAGGTCAGGGGTTCTGGAGTAGATCCGAGAGGCAAATACTACGAGCCCCCTCAAAGGAGCACCTGTGGATTAGGTGGTGGGAACACCTAGCCTAGCAGCCTGGGAAGATGGGTGGGCGTCAGCAGGTGCGGGACAGGAGAGGAGGGAGCCTCCCCAACCTTGAACCCAGGCAAGGCTGGGGATGACCTTGGATCACCATTTGGGGATCACTGACCAGTCTGGCAAGAACTTGACTTTCCACAGCCATTAAGTGGATGGATGGTTTTCGTAGGGAAGACAAACCGCTGGTTATCCGATGGCATTTTTCTTTGGTGTGTGGGGGCTGAGGGCCATGAGGTGCAGCAGATCCCTGGGGACAGAAATGCTCAGCTTCACTTCCTGATTCTCTTGATCTCAGAATTGCCCTTTGCCCGCTTAGTGGCCCTGGCGAATATCCCTGCGTGAGCGTTATCAGCACACAAGTGAGCCGTTTTATGCTGGTGGTTCCGTCCCTGCCTTGTGGGTCTTGGGGAGCGGTGAGCCATCGCTCTGCTTGGGGTGGATGGGGACAATTGACCTTGGCCCCTCCTGGCTGCTGTAGGTGCTAACAGACCCAGGGCTGCTGCGGTCCACGCTGCTCATCGCCAACCTGTCAGACCACGTGGCCTGCATTTCTCAGTACTTTCCGTCTCTAATCAGTTTTTTAAAAATTGAGCCGGTTATCTGTGTTATTTCATAGGGGCAAACGGAATGCCTCAACACTCTTAGCGAATTCTTCATGAGCTTGCAATCTAAGTTTTTCTTTCTTTCTCCTTCAAACCCACAGTGTGCCACGCCGAGCTGAATGCCATTATGAACAAAAACTCAGCAGATGTGAAAGGCTGTACCATGTATGTCGCCTTGTTCCCGTGTAATGAATGTGCTAAGCTCATCATCCAGGCAGGTAGGACCCGGGCCGTTCCCATTTGTCACATTTGCATTGCTGCCTGCTCACTGCAGATGTGTTTGATCTCAAATCGCTATTGTTTAGATCTAAATTAACTGCGCTATCAGCTTTGCAAGATATTTCCTGGGTTTTGTTTTTGAATGGTGCCAGGTATTCTAAGACTAATTGCATCCTCTGTGATTCTTAGCATGTTTTTAGTTTAGTTTGCAACTTCCTAAACTGCAAGCTGCCAAAAAACACCACCAGCATTGCATATAATTACTGTCAATTTACTATTCTCTGACATATTGTGCATAGATTGGGGGGAGGGAGAGAAATGAACTTCTGTCAGAAACAAGGTCAGCTGGGAGTCTGTAAATGAAATTTTAATTTGTATCTAATATATGGTAGATATATGAGGACCTAAACATCTCTTTGCATATAAATGTCATAAGACTCAAATGGTACAACTTGAAGTTTTTCTTACATTACGGTTACCGTAAATCTGCACCATTGTGTTCGGAATATTTCACCTTTTTCAAACTGTCGCATCTAAGATTCAGCTACACTTTATCTCCATAAAGCTCTCGGCTTGAGATTTAAAGACTTACCACGTTAGCCAGATGTGTGCTTTAACGGGGCTGTTTATCCCGAGCCCTGGATCTCTGAGCAGAAGCGGTCTGGTGGAATCAGGATCAAAGATCTCAGTTAAGGAGTCTCATGGGCTCCCTCCCTGGGGGTGTACGACCCTTCGCGAGTTTTCCTCGCCATCCTTAGCACAGCGGCGGCGGCAGGTGCATGGGAAGAGCAGCCTCCTGTGGTCCCTTTTTTTTTTTTTTTTGCGGTACGCGGGCCTCTCACTGCTGTGGCCTCTCCCGTTGCGGAGCACAGGCTCTGGACGCGCAGGCTCAGCGGCCATGGCTCACGGGCCCAGCCGCTCCGCGGCATGTGGGATCTTCCCGGACCAGGGCACAAACCCGTGTCCCCTGCATCGGCAGGCGGACTCTCAACCACTGCGCTACCAGGGAAGCCCCTGTGGTCCCTTCTGAGGCTCGTGGAGGAGCGAGTGATTGTCAAGTGCCCTCCAGATTCTTGGCCCTCAAGTTAGAACTGCCTGGTGAGACAGGGGTAGGAAACAGATCTGCCCTCTGTCAAGCTGGCTTGAACTGGTCTGCAGAGCCATTCCTGGCAGCACGGTGGTCCTCATCTCTGATTCTGCCAGTGTTCTCCACCACCCCCGTTAGCCTCTTGAGTTAGGAGTCGTTGCCTTGCGAATAAAGAAAATTTGATTGCCTGCAGTAAAGAAAATTTGTTAATCGGATCAAGGCTTGACTATTTGACATGTTTTCACTTTGCATTTATTTAAAAAAAATCCATAAAGACTGGAGGGCAGATTAAACAGAATCCATGTGCTGCTGTATTTGAGAGCAGCAGATACATATTTCAGTCACTGGACATTGTGTGCTCGCACCCTCAGGAAAGTTGATTAATCAGACTCCTCCAGGGCTTCCGTCCGCATGCCTCTTGTTGTATCTCTGTGTGCACATAATGAGGTTTCTTTCATTGTTGCCTTTTAAGGGATAAAAGAAGTTATTTTCATGTCTGATAAATACCACGACAGCAATGAGACAAGAGCCGCGAGGCTCATGTTGGAAATGGCCGGGGTTTCCTTCAGGTGAGTGGGAGGCGTGTGGAGGAGAAGGCGCTGGAAGGCCTGATGAAGAAAACACACTTGACCTTGTCTGATGTTTAATTTCTATGTGGGATGCCTGACCTCCACACTTGGAAGCATCTTTTTATTTATTTTAAAAATTTATTTCTTAATTGAAGTATAGTTGATTTACAATGTTGTGCTAATTTCTGCCGTACGGCAAAGTGATTCAGTTATATATATGTCTGCCGTACGGCAAAGTGATTCAGTTATATATATGTATACATTCTTTTCCATTATGGTTTATCACAGGATACTGAATATAGTTCCGTGTGCTGTACAGTAGGACCTTGTTGTTTATGCATCCTGTATATAAAAGCTCACATCTGCTGACCCCAACCTCACACTCCGTCCCTCCCCCAACCCCTCCCCCTTGGCAACCACAAGTCTGTTCTCTATGTCCACGAGTCTGTTTCTGTTTCCTAGATAGGTTCATTTGTATCATATTCTAGGTTCCACATATAAGTGATATCATATGGTATTTGTCTTTCTCTTTCTGACTTACTTCACTTAGTTTGATAATCTCTCGTTGCATCCATGTTGCTGCAAATGGCGTTATTTCGTTCTTTTTCATGGTTAGTAATATTCCATTGTGTGTGTGTGTGTACACACACAACATCTTTCTTATCCATTCATCTGTCGATGGACATTCAGGTTGTTTCCATGTCTTGGCTATTGTGAATAGTGCTGCTATGAATATAGGGGTGCATGTATCTTTTTTGGATTAGAGTTTTGTCTGGGTATAGGAAGCATCTTTTTAAATAGGATGGGCTAAGACTCTAAAGATTATTCTAAGGGTAGATTTTTATGGGCAGTGACAGAAGTAACTGAAGACAATCTGTGTAATGATTGCACTTTACTTTTAGTAGATTTCCAGGGCTTGAACTAATTATTCTGGTAGTGAGAAATTTTAAAATTCACAAGTTTTATAATATTAACATTAAATCTTTTTGCAGATGTAACAACTCTGGCATAAAATATTTAAGGTGAAAATAACCTGCCAGGTTGGAACACTGGGAATTCTTTTTACAGTCATAGTTTAAATTGAGATTTTAAGTCATTGATATTTATATGCTTTACCTTTGGTAGGCACAGATTGGGAGGTATGTGTTACTTACAAGTCAGTTCAACCACCTTTGGTTTCTGGTAGAAACTTCTTTTAGACTGAAAACTTTTGAAGAAGTTCCTTTATATATAGTCTTTGTGTCAGCAGTTGGGGTCCTTGTGATTGGTAACATACCTAACCTTTTGGGTTACTCATTAGGGATATAGGTTATACGTAATGAATCTCTTGCACTATTGTGCCTTCTGAGACACAATTTATTTACATAACACTAATTAGATATTTACTGTATACTGATTTTTTTTAAGGAATATGTTTAGTCCTCATGTATGTTCTTTTCACCTGCTTGAGAAGGTATATTAATGAGTAAAAAATGTCATGGGTTTATTTTACTTCTGCATTTATAGAACATGGTTTTAAAAATGACTCCACTAGAGCTGGTTGTTTTGTATTGAGAGCAAAAGACAATTTGCTCTTTTTTTTGCTTTAGAGCAATCCCAAGTTGGCTGCAAAAATTTCCTAGACAATAAGATAAATCTGGTGGGGAAACTAGTCATTGGATGTCATGTCATGCAGCTAACTTGTTAGAAATCCTCTGACTTCCCGATAATTCATGAACTCAGCTAGCTGACGAACACACAAACCAAGCCGCCCCATGCATCTTTTTTTGTCTTAGTCTTTTCCGGTCCGTGTTTCTCTCGGTATGGTGCACTGTAATTGGCTCCTATAGAGACAAAATATCAAGCGAATACCGGGAAATTCTTTCCCTCCCCGCAGAAAATGTAGGTTAAGCCAAAGTAAACAAATGGCTCTAACTACTCACTAGATAATAGCTTTATATGTTTTGTTTCTTACCTTTAGGAAATTCACACCAAAGTGCAGCCAGATTGTCATTGACTTTGATTCAATTAACAGCAGACCGAGTCAGACGCTCCAGTGACTTACATCTCATTAAATCTCCAGAAGATTGGATTATCCTCTTCTAAGAAGCTGCTAATGCCTTTCATCTTACAGTTACACATAACTTTTTAATAGCCGGGACGGCAAAAGTCGACATCTGAAGAATGTAAAAGCTCAAATCTTCCTGACTCGCTCTCCTGTCACGTGGAATCTGCATCTGTTGAAACTATCGATTTAGGGTGTAAAATAAAGGAGCTGTGGGTGCGCACGGGGCTGGAGCGGGCCCCTCCCCTCCTGTCCCCTGGTTCGCTGGGACGCTGGTGGCTGCGCAGAAGGGCGCCAGCCGTGCGTCGTCCACTGCGTTTCACAGCCGTTCTTCAACGCCACGTATGCTGGGAGGACAAACAAATAACTGTGGCTGTGTGCCTACCGGGATGAGCAGACGCGCTGATCTGAACATCGGGCCCGAATGAAGCATCACATGTAATGCCCTTGGGGAAAGGAAAGGAGCCACAAGACAGTAGCATTTAAGTGTTTGCTTTCGAGAGTTGAGGGAGCCCCCAGCCGCCCAGCCGCCCGCCCAAAAGTCCTGGACGGGGTGCGCCTTCGTCCTGGCAGATGAGTGCAACTGAGCGGGCGTTCTTTCCCCCGCTCTGCTGTCCTGCCTCCCACAGGGCGGCGCCGCGGTGTGCCTCTGCGCGGTGGGGACCTCTGTTGTTCGTGCTTCTTATTCTGGCTTTGTGGGTGACACAGAGCTCTTACATTAGTTTATTTGAGTAATGAGTCGTTCCCGGGGAAGGCAGCCCGTCGCCCTGCGTCACCCCCAGGTCCACACCCTGCCCGGGGGCGGAGCCCCGCACTGCTGCTGCACGTGCCAGCACGGTTCATTCCCAGGGCTGCTGTCTACCGTCCTGCAAGTGAAATGAACGTGAGGAGGTGTCAGTTCCGTCCAGATCTCTTGGTGACAGGAGCTCACTTGCGCTCCTGGTGCCCTGCCTTCATTGACACACATCTCACCTTCCTAATCACTTCGATTTGGGGGATGGGTGGCAGTGCACCTTGTCTTTAATCTCATTTCATTTTTATTAAATGTGCTCAGTACCTTCGTTGAGAAAATGGTTTCTCTATCCTAAAGATCATGACCGTTTTAAAGTGCTCTTACATCTTTATGAGTTTTTATTTTGTCTCTGAGGTTTTGGATTCCATATTCTGGGGCATGTCATTTCTGTGTTGTCTGTGAAGCACACTTGCACGTGTTTTAATGCTCAGAGAACAGTTTGGGGCACGGATGCCATGTGCCTTCCCCAGGGCTGAAGGGCGATGCGTCTCTATGGACCAGATTGAAGATGTCCGGGAAGGCTCTCTTCCCTCTCTCTCTCCATCGTGCCCTGCTCCTGTCTCAGGTCTGGCCATCTGATCTGACAGGTCGTCTCCACCACCCAATAGGTCCCAGGCCTCCTCCCTCCCATAATCCTCCAGTCTCCAGTGCTGGCTTATCTGCTGCTTTCCTACCGTATTCTTCTCTAAATCTCCTTTTCTCGCCTCAAATTTTTTCTCTCTTATCTCCTCCAAACCCCCTGCCCTCTGCTCTAAAATGCATAAAACAAAAACAAAAGGTATATAGAAGCAAGAAATCAGTAAAGATATTTAAAGATAGAAAATATGTTGGATTTTTGTGTTGCTGTGAATGAGTTGTGAGCCCTTTCAGCAAGGAATGTGTCATTGTTTATGTCACATTCGTAAATATGTCTAGGGGCTAGTGCCCTGTACAGTCAGCCCTCTGTGTTTACGGATTTCTGCATCTGTGGATTCAACCAACCTCACATCGAAAATGTTCAGAAAAAAGTTCCAGAAAGTTCCAAAAAGCAAAACTCGGGTTTGCCGTGCACCTCACAGGCAGATACTGCGTGTTTTACGTATTGGAGGTCAGTTGCAGCCCTTCTTGAAGCAAGTCTCTCAGCGCCATTTTTTCAGCAGCATCTGCACACTTCATGTCTCTGCGTCACATTTTGATAATTCTCACAATATTTTAAACTTTTTCTTTACTAAGTTTATTACGGTGATCAGTGATCTTTGAGGTTTTACCGTTGCAAAAAGATTATACGACTCCCTGAAGGTTCTGATGATGGTTCGCATTTTTTAGCAATAAAGTATTCTTTGACTAAGGTATGTGCATTTTTTTAGACATAATGCTGTTACGCACTTAATACACTACCGTAAACGTAACTTCTCTATGCACTTGGAAACCAAACAATGTGTGTGACTTGATTTATTGTGATACTTGCTTTATTGCAGTGGTCTGGAACCGAGCCGGCAGTATCTCCAAGGTCTGCCTGTACATAGTGTTTATATTGTGTACAACTATTTACATAGCATTTACATTGTATTAGGTAGTATAAGTAATATAGAGATGATTTAAACTATACAGGAGGATATCCGTAGGTTATATGCAAATACTACGCCATTTTATTTAAGGTACTTGAGCATCGGCGGGTTTGGGTATCCACGGGGGTCTTGGAACCAGTCCTCCAGGACACCAAGGGTCGACTACAGTGCGTCTAATTTATTTAACTTTGATACTGTCTTATATTTTGTTCCTTCTTGTTACATTGAGTTTTAGTGAAAAAAATTTTTTTTCTTTTCCTTACTGGGAGGAGGTGAAGAGGGGGGATCCTTGCTAAGCAGGAAGCACGTCTTTTGACGGTCCGGGGGGCTGTGTACGTGGTGCTCGTCCCCCCAGTGTGGGTATATAAGGCTTCCACGTATAGACCATGTTGCTGAACTTGACTTCCTGGTGACTGGAGTGTACGTAATTACGTGTTAGTTTCCCATATCACTATAGGAGGAGTGGAATCTTCTGGCCAGAGAACTCTGTAGATATCAATGTTCCAGTCAATAGAGGTTTGCTTTGAACTGTTGCCTTTGGTAACAGTATTCCAGAAGAAAGGCGGTTTGAGCCTTCTTTTGCCTTGCAGACTCTGTTAGATAATTGTGGTGGATGGCGGTTGTATCCGAGGCAGTGTTGCTGCCTGTCATGGGTAATAAATGACAATAAGGAAACAATCTTTCACTGAACCATTGGTGGGAGAACTCCATTTAAAAGGCAAAATTTCTGAGGGAAATGATAGGAATTCCATTTCCCTGACACATTTTATGCTTTTTCTTCTTTTTCAAAGAATCCATCCTTAAAGACTTCTGAAGCCCAACAAGATACAGCAGTGGAAGTGATCTAAGATATTGGCCATTTCCTCCTAAATTAAAAATGAAGCAAAATAAGGGAACAAGCATAAAAAGAAAAATTGAGAAGAGCTTGAATAACAATTTAGGCCTATACAACCAGTGATCTAAACTTCCTCTATTCCAGGCCTGAGTTTTGATCTTCCAACGTCTACATCCACTTGAGGATTACAAATATTTAGGTTGGCGAATCGACTGTTGCAGAAGGAGAGCCCGAGAGTGCAGGGCAGGTAGTTTTCCTGTGAGTGACACGGGTGAGAAGTTTTCACACGCACAGTTCACTTGGTTTTGTTTTTTAAAGTGAGGCTACTCTGAACATGGTAGATTCCACAAGTCATCAGTCAGGAGGGCTGCCTTAAGCTCCGTGGGAGGACTCGGCTCTCCCCTGTGGGAGAGCCTGTGCTCTGCCCACTTACCTCCTGCCAGGGAACCATGGTGATGAGGGATTAGCATAGGCAGAAGCCAGCAAAATAACCCTGGGCCCAGGACTTTTTGGAATCGGGATCACATTTAGAGGGAAAGGCTTATCCCATTTAGATGAGAGGTGCCCAAGAATTCTGGAAAGACATAGAGCTAGGCCAATTTTTCAGGACTGTTGGAGAGGTCGAAAGCCATTAAATTCAAAAGCCATTAATTCAAACACTGTATTTAAAAACAGAGAAAGACTAGCTGCTGGTAGCTGAAGATATGGACCGGACTTGAAGAGGGAGTGCAGGGCTGGAAGGAAGAGGTCTACTTGGCCTCCAAAAAGAAGGGCAGCATCAGGCTGTACGAATCTCCAAATCGTTATTGAGTGCCTCACCAAGTATAAAGTGGGTTCTCCAATGCTCACTCGTTTAGAGTCGGAAGACACAGAATTGTTAGATGAAGCCCAGCTTTGCCAGTCTCAGGCTAAACAACACTCTCCACCTGCCAGGGCCTGCTGATGCGGCCTGCAGTTTATTTTCCCTGGGATTGAGTTGTCTGCAGTGTCCATATCCACTGAGTGAGGCCAGTGGGGAGAGGGCAGGGGTCAGAAGTGGGTGTGCGCAGATGCCTGGCTCTTACTCCATTTCCAAGGTGACTTATTTTAAAAGGTTTTAAAGGTTTTTCACTAAATTAAATTGAGCTCAGTATTTCCAAAGAAAATTGGGGAAGAGTTCTGTACACCACCTGCTCATCACTCAGTAGCAGAGTTGCTCGGTGAAGCCCACGGATCTCACAGGCCTGGAGCCTGAAAATGATGCTGCCCTTATTTTCGGAGGCCAGCTGCCAAGTAGATCTCTTCCTTCCAGCCCTGCGCTCCCTCTTCAAGTCCGGTCCATATCTTCAGCTGCCAGCAGCTAGTCTTTCTCTGTTTTTAAATACATTTTTTAAATGTAAAATATACATAGCAAAATTTACCATCTTAACCATTTTCAAATATACCGTTGAGTGATAACTACATTGACATTTTTTGCGCCCCCATCACCACTATCCAGCTCCAGAAGTCTTTTCACTTACAAAACTGAAACTCTGTGCCTGTCAAACAGTAACTCCCCATTCCCCTCTCCGGCCAGCCCCCGGCAACCAGCATTCCACTTTCTGTCTCTGAATTTGACTAATCCAGCTACCTCCCATAGTGGAATCATACAGAATTGTTTCTTTGTGACTCTGGCTGATTTCATCTAGCACAGTGTCCGGTGTTTGTCCATGTTGCAGCACGTGTCAGACCTTCCTTCCTTTTGAAAGCCGAATAATACTCCATTGTACGCCACATTTTGTTTCTCCATGTGTCTGTTGATGGACTCTTGGATTGTTTCCACCTTTCGGCTGCCATTTTCTTTTTGTTTGTTTGTTTTTTGCGGTAAGCGGGCCTCTCACTGTTGTGGCCTCTCCCATTGTGCAGCACAGGCTCCGGACGCGCAGGCTCAGCGGCCATGGCTCACGGGCCCAGCCGCTCCGCGGCACGTGGGATCTTCCCGGACCGGGGCACGAACCCGTGTCCCCTGCATCGGCAGACGGACTCTCAACCACTGTGCCACCAGGGAAGCCCCTGCCATTTTCTTTTGAACATCTAATGTTCCTCTACAACCTGGCATCATCCACGTGGGTCCCTGACTGCCTCCTTCCCTACACCAGTCACCCAAACATTCTGGAACATTCCTTGCATTTGTGTGTGTGTGTAAACCAGCCTTTCTGAGAGGCTCGTAATGTGCTTCCTTTGCTCACGCACAGCTTTCTATGTCTCTTTCAAGACTGAGCTGGGATCCTGCCTTCTCTGTAAAGTCTCCCCAGGTCTTCCTCAGCTGGAACTGATCTATTTCTTCTCCGAAATCCTACAGCAGTTATTGTCAGCAACCATCTTTTCGGCAGTGAATCGAGCACAGTTTTATGACAACTCTTCTACTGTCTAGAACTGTTATTGAGACATTTCACTTAACTTTTCACAATGATCTCTTCCTGCTCTAACAGGATGATTAACTCCATGAGAGCATGTGTGTCTCGTGTATCTTTGTACCCACTGCCTTCCATTCCGCCCACATCTTTGCATCGTACCTTAAACAGATGTGTTTAATATTTCCATTTGAAAGTTATGGACCTGATTGCACTTTAATTCAGTGAAGCGGCTGATCAGGAGCCAACTTCCTAGATCATTTTTTCCCGATTTCCTCCTGAACAGCCTGAAGAAATATGGTCAAACAGAATGCAAGAGAAAGAAGTCTTCCTGTTAGCATCCAGGGTTAACGGGCACATTTATCTTTGAGAGAGAAGGGAGATTATTATTTAAATGTCTTATTTTTAGCTTCTGTGTTTCAGTTAAAGCATGCTTATATATGGTTTTGGATTAGAAGGTTGGCAATAATATACACACTTGCCAAGACCCTAGAGATGATGTTTCCATTTAAACCCTTCTGATTAGAGGATGGCTTGACCTTTACAGGTCTTAAATCACTATAGACTGCTTACTGTTGCAGGGATGCTTTATTTTAACTTTTGTTAATGAAAATTGTTACATCTTTGGTATTGTTAAAAATGCCATTTGGTCCAGGTTTTAGATGGGCATTTTGTTATTAAATTGCTTCCCCTGCACAGTGATGCATGGCATGCAGCCTTTTGTGTTCATTCTCCTGCCCTTCCCCTGTTTTTCTTGAAGAAGCAGTTATCAGTAATATATGCAGCTATAAGTAACAGACACCTGACTCTCAGTGGCTTAAACAAAAAATATTTTTTTCTTACGTAATAACTGCATTTGCTGGAGTTAGTTCAGTTACTCGATGATGTCGGCAAAGATGTGGGCTTTTTTCTTTATTTTAACTTGGCTTTCTTTAGCATTATGTCTTAAAGCTTGTTTTGTCCAGCTCCAAGTGTCCCCGTAAGTACAAGAAGGGGGAGATGGGAGGTGGGGCAAGCAAGAGACTTCTCCCCTCTTGCCTGTCCTTTTTATCAGGAAAGCAGAAGCTTTCCCAGAAGCTCCCAGCTAATATTCCCTTATGTCTCATTGGCCACAAGTGGGTCAGTTGTCCCCTTAGCTGCAAGGGAGGCTGTCAGGGTGCTTGCATTCCAAGTTCCGTAGTGGAGTCTGCACGGGAGAAGGAGGTTAGTAGCAGATGCTACTAATGATTTGGGCCGTACTTGAGAAATCGCATAATGGTCTAATTATGTAATTTCTACTCAACTGCTGTTCACATACTGGTGTTAAAGTATTAATTGAGTTGAAAAGTGATACCTCCTTCACAGGAATTTTGTGAACTTTTGTATTGACTTTCAAACTCTTGTGTAGAAAATCTTAGTTTCTTATTTGGACAGAGCTATAAAAGAGAAACACACACCACACACACACACACACACACACATACACTCACACAACATTTGAAGGTAAGTTACATCATAGCCTTTGGCCCCTAAATACTGTGTGTGTTTCTCAAGAATAGGGCTATTTTCATATATAACCACAGTATACTTATCG